TACCACACCATGCAACAGCTAAATGGTATCATTTCAACGTTGAAAAAGACAATTCGCTTGAAAAGTTACAACACCAACCTACATCCACTGGACATATCGTACATATTCTCAAACACAGGCATCACGGAATTCCACAGTTCTACGTTGACAACCTTAAGCGGTTCTTCCGGAAGGGCAGGCTAGAGTAACCACAGCCCACGCCTACGATTGCACTGTAGCGGTCAAGAAGAGCCAGACTTGTCTACGGAGCAAAGAAGAAGAGCATTGTACCCTCACAAAACTCTAAAAGGCAGTAGGATTCAAGACAAAACATTTGTGCGTACGTATTGTGGATAGCGATTCAAAGGGCATGGAAAGTTAGAGCAGTACAAAGCATCAAGCATCAAGCAAGCCAACACAGTTACTGTAGGATCCAGTTCGATAGATCAAGTCATCACCGATTGCCAGACCATTCGTTCCATCTATGCCCTCTCAACTATTATCATACTTTGACGGGACCATCCATATCATAATGTAACCTAAACCATCCTGTACATAGCATCCCGTACCATGGTTAGACAATGAAGAATATCTCCTAATGATAAAGTTCCCGTGTAACCTTAACGTACCGACCTACTTCTGGTACTCACGAAGAGACTGGCTGACTGGTAATATAATTTCGTCTTCAATAGTCTTGACATTTTCTCCTTTTTCCTTTTTCTTTGACTACCGAGACTAGTTCCCAAGGTTCAACAAAGAGATCTCAGAGATCATCCAAGACTTCCAGGTTACTACCAGAACTGTACAATCACTCCGCAATTGGATCATCCACCATCAAAGTAATACTTCCCGCTTTAGTTAAGCCCTCAGATCTTCCCTCTTTTCCCCAACAGACCAGCGAATGTAATCATTTCAAGGGTCTCCCACAAGCCATTCAAACTAGTCAAAGCAACAATCCTATTGGGTGGTCAGCGTTTTACGAGGGAGGGGGGGGAGTACTCTGTACCAGCCAAAGATACAATTAGAACGAAGCACGCCATATCTTTTCTACGATAATCCTCAATTGTTGAATTTACCCTCGAATTCTTATACAATACCCCCCCTTCCTCCCCGTCTTCGATTTTACAAAGTCCTTTCGCTTTATGTTTCGCTACTGCATATCCGGATTCCGAACGAACATTTATTAACTTTATTGTCTGTCGGAATATCACGAATTGATAAATCACATCAGTGCCCATATCCCCCGCCAGAAATTATCCCGCACAACAAACACATCGTTAAGATATTGGTCAATTCATTTTGCCCAATATATATATATATATATTTATTATTATTGGATCAAACTTTCCTGTGTGTTCCGTTTCCGTCTCGACAACATTTCGCTCACTTCCATCCCATCCATCCCACTCTTCCGATTTCGCCAATTAATTACCTACGGGAGTCATATCGGTAGAATCATTATTAATCTCTTATCAGCACGGATTCAAAATATATACTAGCACTATCTACCTAGAGACTACAGACTACAGACTAGAGACTAGAGACTAGAGCCTAGTATTTATCTACCTAGTCCAAACCCACTATTACAATAAAAAAGATCATTCATAGAGTCACATCTCGAGATTCTTTCAAACAGCCAATCGAGAATAAATAAGAGGAAATCCAATCCAATCCTTGATTTGATTTTTTAACTTTGTTTCTGATCATTTCATCACATCATCATTGATCTCACCCATTTGATCTTACTCACCTGGACCGTTCTAATTCACCGTCACGAGAAACATTCACAAGACCGAAGTCGACCAGGGAAGCATCCATCCTGAGAACTTGTCTACGACATATAAGATACCAAGGTTCATTTCACATTCACATACATACAACAATTCATATCGAACATCTTCTACGACTTCCTCCTCTCTGATATCCTACAAATCTGACGGATTGTCTCGATATTTCCAAAGGAAGAATACATCTTCCAACTGCCAAAATGGCGCACTCAACAAGACCATCCGCTTCCCGAACAAACACTGCCCCTTCGCTCGCTCTCTCCCCAAGAACGAGCTCGGAAAAAAACACTGAGAAGAAGACCAACCACGTACGCAGAAAGTCAGGAAAGGAATTCGCGGTGGTAGCGGAAAAGAGAGCTAGTCGCCCTACAACTTTACACCGAAGGACTACACCGCAAGTTATTACCAAGGCTGCCAGAAGTAAGGAGAGAGATAGTCAATACGTGGAGAAAGATAATGGGGAGAGCTTTCCACAGTTCTGGTAAGTTCAACTCGATTGTCAGATTGATGACGATGCCTAGGATTGAGAAAAGGCGGGGTGCATAATGGTGGCTGAACCGAGACTGACGAATTATTACAGTATGACCTGCGAGAAGCAATTTACACCACCCAACAATACCTTTCTCTATTGCTCTGAACAGTGAGTGTCATCCAATGTCCACATTCTACAGAAAAAGTCACTAACAAGATCAATAGATGTCGTGTTCATGATCAAGCACCAACATACACTTCTCGATCGAACCCATATGCAACTGCACCAAACTCTCCACCATTGACCCCATTCTTGTCAAGTGCAACTCTATACTCCCCGGAAGAACCTCGAGATATTGTACCAAGGCTCTCCCCTACACAATCTAGACCTCGATCATACTTCAACTCATCACCATATCCAACCGATTTCTCCGTCGCATACCAAGTACCATCCTCATCCCTCCCAGCATCGCACTTCTATACTTCATCCCAAGCCGATACACATTCATCGAGTGCCTTGGAAAGCTTGAGAGAGTTAGCCACAGCGCTACCCCGAACACATCAACCCCACGAACCAGAATCTCCACCGACTACTACACTGTCGAGGACATCTTCTCAAGTCTGGAACTACATGCCATTCACCACCAAGACCACAACACCCACACCCCTCGCCACACCTGGAAACTCATACTCGAACACCGGCAGCAGCTATTCCGCTCGTCGAAGCCGAGAAGACTTGCATGCTTTCGGAGCTGGTCAAACATTTACTAGCACCGGGGGTATGGGTATGGATCGTCCTTTACCACCTCGAAGTGGTCCAGGTGGTTATGGACATCGACCTAGAAGTATTGATCTAGTTACACCATTTACACCTGGTGTTTAAACTAAGATGAAAGAAAAAAAAAGCAACGCTCGAAAGATGCACATATTACACATTATTTGCGTTTGTCATAGATATTTGAGTCTCCAAGCATTGCGATGCGAACTTTACATTATCGTTGTAGATGAAGGATTATGAAGAAAAAGGAATAATGGAATTGGTATGGGCATTTGGCATACGCGCGAGCACCATAGATAGCTAGCATGGAAATTTGTGAAGGAGTTAATCGTGGAATCTAAAAAAATGGGAAGGGCAATTTACATGCTTAATGCATTATGGGTATGAGAAAAGGATGCAATGGGATGGATTGGGTTGGATTGGATTGGGTAAATACTTCGGATTAGATAGAGTCTGCAATGGCTTTGTAACGCTCTAGTTAAATATATACACACCTCTTACAAATTAGGTCAATCTTTGAATTTGACTTTGATTTAGTGCAGTGATATCTTGGGATCGTTAGTTATTGGGGCTTGGTATTTGATGGGAAGTTTGGCGATGGGAATGGTATGGCATCGCATTCTTCAGATCTCGAATCTCGAATTCCATACAGTTTTATGGCTCTTCGGCATTCTTTATCTAGTCGTCGCTTTTCAACAGCAAATTACTATGAATGTTTGTGTATAGTATATTTATATAAATATAATAGTTATATATATCAATAACTAATCTAAATAAGAATAGTACGAAATAGATATATCAAAATCTATATAATGTTATTCATATATGAGCGGATCGTATTACTAAATAAATTACTTAATTTATTTGATTTATATATAACTATGTACTTTCTTTATTAGTCAATGGAATTATTCGAAGATTTCTTATATAAAATCTGATTTTTCAATTCTTTTAAAAATCTATTCTTTGTTTTTAAAATTCTAATTATTATTAAAGTTATTAAGAAAAAAGGATTTTTATAATATTAAATGTAATCATTTCAAGCTAAAATGAATTATTTTCAAAAAAATCTAAATATTATAAATATTTCATTTCTTTTATGATTTTTCGTTATTTTTTCTTTGAAAAAATAATAATTAGTTATTAAAATAAGAATATCAAAAATGATTAATTTTAATACATTTTTCAAGTAATTCGTTCGATGATATCATCCACTTGTATATGAACCATGTTATATAGTAGTAGTAGTAGTAAATTCATAATCGATTCGATCTATATAGCTATGCTAAGACCATGCGATGCGCCTGTATCTGTGTCTAATTGAATGAAGTAGATAGGAAAAAGATATAAAAACCTACCCCCCCCCCAGTGTCCCACCGCCATGTTATATATATATATATATATATTTATATCTACTAAATTTAATATATAATCTTTAGGAATAATTAAAGCTTTCATGCGGGCCCTATATGTACGTTCATAGTAGATTACGATCTGAGTCTTTACAGAGACGAGGAGACCTCTGAATAGCTCTTCGGGCTGTTTCATTTCATACATCTAATCTAATCCAATCCGATTCACTCACTCATTCATTCGGGTACTTGTTGCTCATGAAAAGTTCTCTGTCACATTTCCTCCCTCCTTTCCTCCCACGATTCATCACGTTTTCACGAACCCAGCACGTGCAGAAACGAGCGGAAAGCGGGAAGTCCCGATGTGTAACCGAGATATCGTACGTAGTGGGGTTTGTATTTATGTCTCGACAAGTCAAGGTTCATCTCGAATATTACTTTGGAGTTTTAAATCGACGACGCATATTTGACGAGAAGGTACCTAACTAAGTGTGGGGTTGAGTCAAATCTGTGTTGCGATTGCTAGAAGTGTGTTGAGTGCTTTGAGAGGATTGGGGGTTTATTTGAGAGGCATTGGGATTGTTGAGATTGAGATTGAGAAGAGAAGAGAAAGGGAAAAGGAGAGGTGCAAAGATGACGTCGAAATTTGTAACGAATGATGGTGTGGCTATCGCGTATAGCGATACGGATTCACAGAATGAGGAGGGATCGGAGTGTTTGATTCTTGTGAGTCCCAGATTCTTGCTGAGAATCACTCATGTAGCTAACAAATCACACAGTTGCACGGCTTTACCGGCTCAAAAGATGTTTGGCAAAAGAATATACCTGCCTTACGCAAAACATACCGTGTTATCGTACCGGATCTGAGAGGTCATGGAGATAGTCAAAAACCAAAACATGGATATCATGTTAGTCGTCTCGCGATGGATTTACATGAACTCATACAGCATATTATCAATTCATCTGCTGTCAGCCAAAAGGATACTCAAGTAAACAAGAAATTCCTTGCTATTGGTGGGAGTCTCGGATGTGCGATTCTTTGGAGTTATGCTGAACTTTTCGGGACGGGGTTGTTCAGAAAAATGATCTTTGTGGATCAGAGCCCGCTTCAGAATTCCACGTTGGATGGCTGGGATAGTCGTTTTTGTAATCGTGGGATGAATAATCCGTGGGCGATTGCTTCGCTTCAGAAAACGCTAGAGTTGGCGCCGGAATTGGCGCATCGGGGAACTATTGCGGCTTGTTTGGGATATCGATATGCACCGATTGAATCGGAGAAAGGAGTCAGGACCCAGGAGGAAATGGATAATGATGAGGCTTTTTTTCTAGGAGAAGCACTTAAAGGAAATGGTAGATGGTTGGGGAAACTCATGGAGGATCATACGTCTAAGGATTGGAGAGATAGCATTCGTGCTTGTTTTGGATCGGAGAGCGGAAGTGAGACGGAGGTTTTAGTTGTAGGCAGTAGCAAGAGTGGATGTTTCCCTGCAGAGGGAGTATTGAAGATTGTGGAGTTTATAAATGGTGGAATGAAAATGGATGGAAAGATTAGAGAAGGGAAGGCACGAGGTGTAGTAGTTGATTGGGGCGGTCATTGGTGTTATTGGGAGGAGCCGGATAGGTTTAATAACCTAGTTTTCGAGTTTTTTGGAATGGAAGGAACGATCTGGGGGTGTTGAACATGTCATTTTTTTTACACCACGCCCTCATGTCCAAAATGCATTCAACAATCAACAACCTCAAATATAAAATTGGTTGAAAATGTCTTTCGCCCGCTCCCAGTTTCCCAGCTTCACTTTGGCAAGCCTTTGGGCTCGTCCCTTACCACCTGGTATGTGACTTATACCCATTCATTCATTTCTGCGAGAATCTTCTACATGATCTCGATATTTCAAATGTTCTAAGCATTTCGGAGATGTGCAATAACTAACATAATTTGAAGTAGTTGATGAAGAGGCTCCGGCTGTTTCTCCCCCGGTCTCCCCGCCCGCCTCCCCACCATAGGCTGTCTCCCCGCGTGCCTCCCCCCCCCGCCTCCCCGCCGCGTTTTGCGAATCCCGGCTTCGGCCTCGCTGTAATGATTCCGACGGTTTCGGAAAGATTGCCGGCCCTCGGCCCGCTGTTGGTATGCCTGCAATTGTTGCTCCGCCGCGCCCGGCGATCGCTGCTCCCCTTCCTCCTTCCTCTTCTGGGGTTTTTTTGGTTTCCTTTTGGCTGGATCCATAGGATGTTTTTTGGTCAGAGGGATGTTTGATTCTCCTATAACTAGATCTGTGGAACTACGACTAACCAATATAGACAAGTGGACAGACATGTCCAAATTGCTTTTTATGTTGGTTTGGTGGCGGCCTGCGCCATTATTTACGCAGGTATTTATATAGAACTTCCAAAAGAGCAAATCTATATACTTCTAATATAATTTCTAGTATTTAAATAGTAAATAAAATAAAATAAAATAAAATAAAATAAAATAAAATAAAATAAAATAAAATAAAATAAAATAAAATAAAATAAAGATTTGTTAATTATAACTTATGAGTTTTAAACCCCTATAAGCTTGATATGCTAATCTTATAGATTTTTTTTTGTATAGTAAAGGTGATATAAACGGTGCCCACGTCATTTGTATTATACATAATCATACATGAATTCAAGTGACTAGTTGAAAATTTTAAAAGCTAAGCCGGTGATGTTGTATGTAGGAAGTAAGGAATATATATGACTTTAATGAGTATGAAAAGTAATCGAAACTAGCACTTTGATTAGATGACTGCAATCGGATTGACTAGGCTATGCATTCTTCGAATTTCCCGTTCACGGACACTAATAATGATGCTAGTAGGATCTTTCTTTATACTCTTCACGCACAGCTCCACCATCCGCTCTCTCGTATCCGCCACCCTTTGCAATTGCCTAAGGCTCAGAATAGTTTCCAAGGTGTAGGATCCACATCTTTCATAACTCGAAACGGATCTTCTCCCGCCTCTACCCTCTTTCTAAACTCACTACCCCGTGTCTCAAGGTCTTCCCACAGTACACGAGCCATCCTATCTCTACAGCAATCACTCGGCAAGGTCGTCTGTTCTATTATCGTTGCCTGCGCATTCAACTTCGTAATCTCTTCTATCAACCATTGCTTGCTTTGTTCTCCTGCTCTGGCCCAGGATTCATGCTTCCACATAGCATGGCGGGACCAATAAAATGCCCGTCTCAGATCGCAGACGACTTCATTGCTTTCGTTATGCCGTTGACAAATGTAATTGTTCCGGTGTTGATGCTCTTTGTAATCGCAGGTTAGGTAGGAAATGAAAGCACCGAGGAGAAAGCTTGTGGCCGTGATGGCGAAAATGCTGAGGGGGGAGAGCGCCATTTTTGAGGGATGGATGGATGGATGAGTGTGTGGTTGTATGGCTTATAAACTTGTTAGCTCGTGGCAGATAGTATGGGATTGAGAGATAGATAGAATATGAACGGTGAGTGGAAGTTGAGGAGATAGATGAAGATGAAGAAAATTGAAAAGGATTGGAAAATGCAATTTAAATGAGTGGTTGTGTGGGCTTAGGGCTAGCCAGTGGTAGCTTGATCAGATGATCTCCCTAGATATCTTTAGTAAATATGTATAATCAATTTAATAAGAAGATGGCAATAGTTCTGATTTAGCTTCAACTTAAAGTTGATTGCTTTCGAGAATGATACGAGGGGGTTGAGATATTCCAGTAACGATTACGGCAGCACCTATGAAGCCCAAAAGAGGAAATTAGAAGAATAAGTAATGAAAAAAAGCTTCAAATCAAAAGATATGTTGATTTTGCAGGTTGGAAGTTGGAGACTAGACTTGGAGCTAGAATTTCTAGTCTATACATGATGATGTGATGAAATCTAAGAAGCGGGACTAGTAGACTAATCCAAGTCTTCAACTTTTGAAAGAGCATCGTTCTTCTAGGATGGCTGAATGATCGAACTCTTTCTTATATATCTGAAGCTTCTTTTCAGAATCACAAATGATTTCCTTGTGTGTCTAGGCCTTGACTAGTACTGGGTCCTGGATGACAGATTGCTTCAAGAACTTTCTTGAAGTTATTTGTCTTTACTCTCAGTGCGACCTGTCTATAATCCCATAAATCTTCTTCGTAATTAATGAATCAGATTCAACAACACAAGCAAATGAATGATGACTGTCGTTGTTCATCTTCAGCTCCCAGATATTACGTAATCTACACGTGATCTTCCCCATAAATTCCCAAACCTCACCTCCTTTTCTTTCTCCCGCCAAATCCGACATGTATGTACCCAAACATCACATTTCATCATCATGCTTCTCTACGCTTTCGCACTGATACCCCTTTATGTGCTAGTATGGGGGCCTCTTTCTCAAATTATCTACGGTCGTCAATCTGCTCTTCATGAACCCCTCAATTTGAACTCTTCACTTATCGCAAGTGATGAACCCCTATTTTGTTCGGAAGATAGTTACAAGACGTTTATTATTAGTCGAGAACCACTTATGATATATATTGAGGGATTTTTGAAGGCGAACGAGAGCAAACATTTGGTGGATGTTAGGTATGTTTTTTATATTTATTCTGATGAAATGAAGAGAAACTGATGGGATAGTGAACCGCTTTATCAACCGTCGACGGTTTCTCATGGTCAGGAAGTGACGATTGATACTTCGGTGAGAGATTCGGAAGTAGCAGTGCTAGAGAGAGATGAGGTGGTGAGGTGTATTGAGCATAGAGCGAGGGCGTTTCAGGGGTGGAGAGACGAGATGGGCATTGAGAAGTTGAGGACGCAGAGATATGGGGTGGGGGGTCATTATGGGATGCATTTGTAAGTTTTGGGGAGTGAGGAGGGCTTTTGTTTATTTCCTATCAACGTGGAGATTTCAGATGAGGTATTGTGTACATGAGGGCTAATGATAGAAATAGCGATTGGAGTGGAGGAAAACGGGGAATTGACCGAATTAGTACATTCATGGTCTACGTTGACGTATCTTCTGATATTGAAGGCGGCGGAACGGAATTTCCACGTATCGTGGGACCAAAAGGAGGAAGGTGGGAAGAATTCCTCGATACTACTGAAGCGTTAGATCCAAGAAGTGGAAAAAATGTAACGGTAGAAGGAGTGACCTTCAAACCCATCGAGGGAAATGCCGTATTCTGGGAAAATACTGATAGGGATGGGAGAGGATATGAGGAAACATGGCATGCTGGTCTCCCGGTTGAAAAGGGCTCGAAAGTGGGGTTGAATATTTGGAGTTATGGGAGAACGGTTAGATGAAGATGTGGAGAGAAGTGAATGAGAAATAACGTGCGTGTTTGATACTAGTGGTGTATAAAACATAGCCGGAGTGGAGTGAATAGATTAGTACATATGGATTTAGTATAATCCATTATGACTCAACTTTAAAGGTTACAACTGCTGTAGGAAATCAGATACGACAAATAAACAAAGTTTCTTGATGAAGAAATCATCTTGAGGTTCTCAGAATATTACGGCGAAAATCTTCCGATTCATTTGCGTGTGATTTAATTCACCTTTTGGGAACCTCTCGTTGTCAGATTTTCTCGGGTTTCTTTTATTTTCAATATAAATTGAGCAGTGCTTGGTTCTCGAAACACTTCTACTAAACATACAGGAGCCTTAATCGATCATCTCCAAGGAAATCAATCTTCAATATTTTAAGTCATTTATACGGGACAAACAACGAAACGCAAACACATCCACCTACCTATTGTATTGTTAGCATCGATATCACAGTAAAAGTGGCACTTATCGCAAGTTTTCACATCAAACGAACCAAACCCAACGATCTATCGAAGATCTTACAAACTACATTAACATCACATCTACACTACGAATACACTCCACGAGACTCCAACTCCACCTACAAAAATGGCAGCCTCCGCCTCCTCCCATTCCAATCTTGTAACCCTCCACACAAACCTCCACACTCTCCTCCTCAAATTTTCTCTCTCCCTACACCTTACCTCTCCCTCTCCCTCTCCAGCCCTCCAACTCATTCCCCTCCCCCAGCCGTCTCTCCACCCATCGTCTCTCATCCATCCCTAACCACAACCACACCCCCACCTACGCAAACAACCCGCACGACCCCCTCGAAGTCCTTTACACACTCTCCCCCCCCTCCTTCCACTACCTTCCGCGCAGCGTTCTTCTCCCCCCTCAAATCCTCCGCAAAGGATTTATCGAAACCCCCGAGAATAATCCTCCACTTCTTGAGGGAACACGCATGCAAATTATGGTTATACCGCGGGGAGTACGGAGGGTGGTTGTGCATTTTTTGGTTTATGATCCTGTGCTTAAGGAGAGGGGAGAGAATTTGAAGGCGCTGAGGGATGTTTTGAGGGAGGAGAAAGATGGGAAAGAGAAAGAGGGAAAAGAAGGTCCGAAAAAATTGAAGAAGAAAGCAAGTAAAATTTTGAATTCCCAGGAGAAGAGGAGAGATTTTCCGATGGAGAGGAGGTCGATGGGGAGGTTTGGGGGTGCGGATATGAGTTTGGATGCGAGTGTGAATATGGATATGAATGGAAAAACGAGGATGAACCAGAGGGAAAATTTCGACGGTATGGAAATTGAAATTATGGAAAAGAGACACGAATTGGGAATGGATGTGCAGAGAGAAGAAGATAGAGAAGGGGAATATGTGGTTATGAGACGGGTAGTGAAGTTACCGAGGAGGGTGTGGTGTGGGAGGAATGTGAGTCTTTTATTTCTGTTTTTTATTATTCTTTTCTTCTTTTTTTGGTTTTGCTTTCGATTTTGTTTGAGATCTATCTGCTTTTGATGTGAGGAAAGAGTTGGGTATAGGGATGGATGTACTTCTGGAAATAGAGGAATGAATACTAATTTTTTATCGATAATTTAGTGTAAAGATCAATTCGAACAGTTGTTTATTAGGAGGACTTAAGATTTGAGATTTGAGACAGACGATCGATACGGATACGTACGAGAGAGAGGAGATGATAAAATATGATGTGTGAAGATCACAGGATTATCTAAGGGAAAGCGACTGCAGGTCTTTAGAGAGATTGATACGGGGCTTTGTTCTTCGTGTTTCGATATAGAATGGATGGGATGGTAGTGCAGCTTTCGATACTACAAAGTACAGGGGGCGATATGGGTATGGAGTGGTTGTTTTTGATTTGGTGAGGAAGGCCAGTTGCGAGTCTCGGCGCATAGATGTGAGAGGACAACGGATGACAGGTGAATTTGGCAATATCTGACAAATCATGTTTATAGTGTTGAGAATTGGGTCATTGGAGCGATTTTGAGAGGGAAGATACGTGGGATAAAACAACACTATGAATGAAGAAATGAATGATGTGAAGATACGAATCAGTTAGTGAAATAGAATCAAATGAGATAGATGAAACCAAGAGTCCTCTGTGTGTGTGAGCAAGTCAAGCTTGCTTTTTGTAATGTATTGTGATTCAATTCCAGATTCTGCAGATTAGCTAGAATTATTTTGTTCTGTCTCCTGTTGTACAATTTGCACCATGCGGTCTGTAATAGATCTGCGTCCAATGCCTGTAGCTTTTATAACCTTAAGAGGTATCCACTGCAATTTTTACTCATCTCTACTAAAACCCAAATAACAATCAACCTTCCTCATCATTGACGTCAGCCTCATCATCACTAGCATCTAGGACGTCCTTTCCTGCACCACGTTGTCTTCCAGCAGAAATGCCTGACGCTGTTAGCCATAAGAAGTAATCACTTCGATGATGATCTAAATGATGGAAGAATGTATGAAATCTATCATTTTGTTAGTTTGCTCTTCATATTTTGAAGGATGGTAGACTTACTGATTTTCAGCATTCTCCACTCTGAAAATTCTATCATAGATCTCTCTCTGCTTAAACTCATCCATTTTCTCTCTATACTTCTCAAAGTCTATCTTTTCCCTATCGAAATCCTTTGCAATTTTCTCATTATAATTGTGGAAAACTGGAGCTTCTAATAGTAAACCCAAACTTGGGGCTTTTGGAATACTAATCTTAGCAGCAGTATAAGTTTCCTTAATGAGCTCCATTGGCGAAGCGCATCGAACCACTAATGCTGCCATGGCTACCATTTTTCGAATTTGATGCATCATGAATGATTGACCATGAACTTTCAGTGAAAGCCATTCTGTATCGTGAATGATGATAGGTTGGGCTCCAATCTTGAAAGATTTGATGTGTCGTTTAGAAGAGGCATCTTTGAAGTTTTTGAGGATGGTATAGTTGTGATAGTTATGAGTGCCGACATATTGGTTGAGTGCTTCTTGTACCCGCTCTCTACGAGATTCATGTATGCGATATGCCTTCTTGGCTTTGATGTAGGCTGCTTTTACTTCTTTGACAGCCTTCTCCAGGGGTGTGAGGAGCGATTTCGATATTTCTTGAACACCATCTGCTTCTAGCTTAACTCCCTGATCTTGATTAGTTTCGTCTTCTGCTTTTGGTTCTTCAGTAGTTTCGACGCCTTGCATGGCTTCTGAGTCCTCCGTCTTCGCCTCTCCTGCAATTTCAACTGCTACGGGTTCTGGAAGTACTGAACCGTCACCAGTTTCCGCTTCAGTCTTTGTTGCAGGGTCTTCTTGAGTCTGTTCATTGACTTCTTCCTGAATTTCAGAGTCCTCCTTAGCTTCTGATCTATTCTTCTTGATGTTCTTTCCAATTGGCTCATTGGATTCCTCAGCAGCATGAATAGCTTCCATAACATCCGCTGCTAATTGGGGGTCCAAATTATCCAGAATAGGTTGAACAAATTCCTTCTCGGCGTCGGTCCAAAAAGATGCAGCATCTTCTTGAAGTTTGTTATAATTCTCCAAAACGCCTTCCTTCTCAGCGGCCTGAAGCAACTGCTTTCCGAGGAAACTCTTAGGATGAGGTGGGATGAATGAGTAGGTTGGAATCAAGTATTCGTACCACCGCGAATCGCACATTTGGTAGCAATTGAAAGATCCAGTAGTTCTTTCGATACCCCAGACTCGAATTTGATCTGGTAAATGGGAATTGATATTTTCAACAACTTTTGGATCTTCGATGATGAGTTTCAAGGAGAGAACGTTGCCGGCTGCATGGACGCCTTTGTCGGTTCGCGCGCATCGAATCAAGGTCGACTTTTTAGGATCATTTGCATTAGCTTTCGAAATCGCACCGGCGGCAACAAAAGCCTTGAACATATCACCCTCAATCGTCTTCTCCTGGGTATTAATTTGCAAGCCTTTGTATCCTGTTCCTGCATAGCCAATCATGACGGCGACTTTGTGTTTTGGTTTTCGCACTTCACTTTCGATTTCCTCCTTGGTGAACTCGGTGCTAAATGCTGTTGGCTCTGATTCTCCATTGTGTACCGTCTTTCTGCGTTTCGAGGCTTGGTCGTCGTCGTTTCGATCTCTCTTTGGTTCTTGTCGACTAAATAAAGTTAGAGAGAATCAATTAGGAGATTCACAATCGCAACTGACTGATATTCTTTGCGACCCATCTCTAGCTTTCTTCCTCCTCTGGAACCGCCTCTAGAATTTCCTCTGCCGCCTCTGCCAAAACCTCCCCGACCCCGCCCTCGTCCTCCTCCACCTCCTCCACCTCGTTGACCTCCGGATTGTGCATTCGCCTCCATGATTGACGTAGTTATTCGAACTTCGGAGATGTATGCGAACGTATTTTTCACCAATTGAAAAATTCGCATAGATCACATACGTGAAGTTGAAAATAAAACCGCCTGATAAAGCAGAGATTCAATGTGGTCGTCCATGAATATTTCTCCCAATAGTTTTTAGTGCCTTGGTCTGAGCTTCGGCCAATAATTGTTCATCTTTCAACAATTAAACCCTGCAACTTGATATGGTTAAGTGGTAGCTGACATAATTATATAAAAAAAACCCACCACACTAACCTTACTGCAGCTCTAGGTCTCATCTCACTCAGCCTTGCCAATTGAAGCAATCAATATCCATTCACTTTATCTCCTGCAAAGAACAATCATATCAATTTTTTATTCAATCGACTCGCCCGCCATCGTGAGCAATACATCCAGGACATCCAGGACATCCAGGTGTACGACATCCAGGACCGTACACGACCCATTACCCTCAACGACAGACACAAAACGGTTCAACTCATCCTGTTCATATCTTCTACTTTATTGTCTTGAGGATACAAAACCATCATGGGCATCCTAGACACCATTTATTAAAATATCTCATTGTCTTTTTTTCGATTCTCTCTCTAACCACTCTGCAAAGTCCATCTTTCGAAAACTTATTCTACCGACTTTCGAGACATTCAGAGACACTCAGGGCCCCGCATCCCTTCTTTCCAAATACCAGACATAGATCTCAATCTTCTATCTCCAATCTTTTGATTATCCATTCGCAAATATGGATCTCGCCCAGATGTTGGTGCGCTCTTGTATGCGCTCATTTTATGACACAAAACACATCCTTGTGATTGATGCGCTCGTCATTCACTCCGCGTATGCATTTCTATGGGTGGTTCTGGGAGTTTGGAAAATGAAAGCTGACATTTTATAGCTTGCGCGATGATGATTTGGCATACCTGATGAGCATAAACACAAAGGAGCTTCATAAGCTTTGTGGAAAGTTAAAGGAGGATCGATTTCTGGCAGTGTATGGCAGATATTATATTCTGTATTTTTCGTTTTTGCTAACTGGATTCTGTAGGCATTCCCGCCCAGAGATCAAAGAAGGCCAACAACGACCAATTAATCGAACCTACTATTTTATCGATTATCGTGCAACAATCGATGCGATCAAATGGAGAGTCTACCAGATAGACAAGGCTGTTCAAGGAAATACTGTGCCAGATGATGAGAGAAAGGAATACTTTTGCCCTCGATGCAAATCAGAATGGACCACGTTCGAGGTTTTGGACAAGAGAAGTTATGAGGGCTTTTTATGTCACAAATGCGACTACCTTCTGGTACACGATCCTGACAATAACCGTGGTGGACATGAACAGTCATCGAAACTAAATGCACAGTTTAAATTCATCACCGACTTACTCCCAAAAATCGACAAGGTGGTCATCCCTGCAAACACCTTTGAACAAGCTCTTTCAACAGCTCGTAAAGTAGTTCGAGATGAAGCTAATCCCGGCAGTGAAACTGCACCCGTCGCTCTCTCTTCGGAGCGACCAACTGCTGTTCGTGGTCTGGATAATACTGGACCAACATCTATCTCAGTTACTTTGACGAATGGGGAAGGACCTACAGCTGCAGATATCGCTGCTGAACAAGCTCGCAAAGAAAAGACAGCGGCGCAAAACGCTTTACCTCAGCATTTCACTCACAGTACTATCACTGGAGAGCAGGTCAAGTTTGGCAGCCAACCTACAACCTCTGTTGGTCCTGCAGTTGACGCCAATAAGAAATATATCAAACCTGAAACCGAAGGTATTGGCGAAGGAGCTGAAATCGATGATTATTTTGCGCAACTAAAGGCTGCACAAGCCAAGGAACTAGAACAAGAGGCCGACGAAGAATATGAAACCGATGACGAAGAAGAAGAAGGTTTCGAAGACGTCATTCCAAATGGCACCACATCTGGTGCCGCCACTCCAGCTAGCTCGGTCGGAGGTACAGAAACCAAGCCTAGTGTAACGAGTGGTAGTGGTCTCAGCGGTGTATTAAAGCATTCACGAAATGAAAGTGTTTCAGCAAGTGGAACTAGCACAGGTAGAGGAAGTCCGGTAACAGGACCTAATACACCGAATGAGGATAGACCAACAAAGAGAGTTAGAATCGAAGAGCCTGCTCCCACAGCTCCGGCTATAAAAGACGAAGAGGAGAGTGAAGAGGACATGGAGTTTGAAGACGTTTGATCGCTTAAGCTCTAGAAAAAGGGGCTGGGAAGGGAATGGGAAGGGATGAGATGTGGATTCTTAAATTACATAACAATGCCTGCATACATGATTGGATCAGCAGACCAAGAATAGATAGGCATGCAATAGGGGTGGGTATTTGAGCTATTTTCAAACCTCCAGTCTGGAGTGGTAGATGGGACGGATGCATGGCGTTGAGGGTAATTGCTTACACGCTTCTCGTTTTTTTTTTTTTGCTTGACAGAAAAATGATGCATACTGAGGCTGGGCGGAGATCACTTGTCATTTATTATGGCATATATTCAGACCAAACCAGATTGGCCATAATACTTACGCAATGGTTTGGTCAAAAAGTCGTTGGGCTTTTTAGGTTTATAGATGAGTTTGTTCGTTCGAGCGCGTGTGTCTAGGCTTTAGAGCTGTCAGAGACAATGAACGAATTGTAAATTGTATAATTAAACAAATTATGACGTTTCAAACGCTTCTAAATCCTTCTCACAAGTGAATGGTGATCATTTCACGACTGGTATGATATGGAGAGTTTGTGTTTGCTGATGAAGCGGGTATCTTTTCTTAAGAAGCTCTACACCTTCTGACTACCATATCTATGTCTTTTGTTTTAATAACTCATTTCTCCAATGTCCCACTGTAAATGCAGAGCCCTGTACCATCCCAATAGGTGTTGAAACCCAAAAAACACCACCACAGTGTATGCATGCAACACTGCTCCAAAACGCCGTTTCCAACCCCGAAACGATGCACCTGGTCCCTTAAACCTGAGTTTGCTTAACCATCCAGCTCAACAAATCAACCTTTGTGACAACTGCGACTGGCTTCGACAATCCATCGACCTCGCTTCCCTCCTCGGTAACAATTGCGGCACTGTTCCACTCGAAAAACTTGCTCAAGGCGGAAAGAGGTGTATCGAGTGTGATTTCTACGAATTTGCGCTTTGGAGTAGTTTGCTTCTTGCCATCCTTTGTTGTTTCGATGCCGTTGCTCTTAGGAGGCGAAGAAAGATGACTGATATCCTTGGGATCGGTGATAACTTCAGGGATGTGGGAGAAATCGAACATGACATCTGAGACTGGGCTTTTTCCAGTGGCACGACCGCGACTAATCCAGCTGAGAAGATTTCCAAGGGTGACAAGACCGACGAGTTTATCGCCCTTTGGAGCGAGGACAGGGAGTTGATCGAAACCCTTTTCACGCATGGTTTCGACGGCTTCAGAACAAGAGGAGTTTGCGAGGACGGATGTGACTGGTTTGAGGCGAAGGGATCGAAGAGTCGCTCCAGAGTATGGATCTTTCTTGGATTGAGCTTTGACAACTGGGGATGCTGGCAAGGAAGACTCTGGGGTAGGAGGAAGGAGGTCGTTGGCGGCCAACCAGTCGTCATCGGCAAACTTGCTGAGGTAACTTCTAATACTATCTGGTAGGATGACTACCACGGTATCTCCTTTACCAAGTCCCAAATCACGGACTCCCTTTACCATAGCTGCAATAGCACTACCACTGCTACCTCCTACTAAAAGTCCTTCTTCGGCAATCAATCTACGTGCGTAGGCGAATGATTCACGATCATCTGTCTTGTACCACACATCGACAGAATCTCTGTCCAAAACATCAGGAATGAAATCATAACCAATTCCCTCAACCTTGTATGATTCGTTGGCGTGTTCTTGATTCAGGGTTTCTGGAACTGCAAGTATGGATCCGTGGGGATCTGCTGCAATGATTTTGACATCTTTGTTGTGTTTCTTTAAGCCTTTAGATAATCCAGTGATGGTTCCACCTGTACCAGCTCCTGCAACAACAGCAGTAACCTTCCCATCAGTCTGCTTCCAGATTTCTTCTGCAGTTCCGAATTCATGTGCGTTGGGGTTGTTCTCGTTGGCATATTGATCGAGGATGTGAGAGTTTGGAATCTCTTTCAACAACCGTCTTGCCACTCCGATGTGGGACTCGGGGGCATCCCAAGCTGCTTGAGTTGGGGTACGAATAATAGTGGCTCCAAGCGCTCGAAGGACAGCGACCTTTTCGGGTGACATCTTTTCGGGAAGTGTAATGATTGTCTTGTAACCTTTGATAGCTCCAACAAGAGCGAGACCAATACCGCTAGAAAATGATTAGAGGTTGATGCCAAAGTGGTATGGAACAACTTACGTGTTTCCACTGGTTGGCTCAATGAGAGTATCTCCAGGCTTTATTCTTCCAGACTTTTCCGCCTCCTCGATCATGCGAAGGGCAATACGATCCTTGATACTTCCACCAGCGTTGAAGAGTTCGACCTTGGCATAAACTTCGGCTTCGATTCCCAAACTCTGTGGGATCTTATTTAATCGTACCAAAGGAGTATTTCCAATCAGCTCGGAAGCACTCATTGCAAGGACTGGAGCCCGCACAGGACTAGTAATGGATGCCATGTTGATGACGGATCTAGATGTTTGAGCTGAGATTTTAACGATTTGAAGATGTTTCCGAATAGAAACGAGATGGATGGAAAAGAGGGAAAGATGTTGATGAGAGAGAAAAGGTAAACGACTTTCTCCTTTATTAGTATTGGTGATTAATGTCGCAATGTGGAAGAAGAATTTGCTATAAAATGTTTGAGTAAAAGCTTGACCATGAAATTCTTCATTGAGTTGTTACCCTTCGAGTTTTATTAGTGAAGGGGAGGGGTCTCTGGTCTCTGGATAAGCGATAAGGCTCCATACTAGGGAGGTAAAATTCGTGGCAAAATTTGACCGCAAGTAGCCGTGGAGACCGAAGTATAACCTGAGGTTTCCAGGTTACCTCATCAGGCTCAAACCGGACATTGATGATTGTCTGATATTCGAAGTTGCTTCGTACAAGATGAAACCTCTTTTTATCACGATTTGACATAACCTTGAAGAAATGGCATACAAGTATTTTATTTCATAGAACGTAGGAAGCAGCATAGGGAAATCATAGTGAAATCGTAGAAATGGCGTTTACTTGATAATATCACTCCAGATCGCATTGCATATTTATTATTAAATCTTGGTCCAATGGTCCAGAGCCTGGAGAAGCTTTCACATGCTAAATATAGAACTTCAAACACCGTGAACGTTGAGATGCAAACCCCTTCATCGCCTAAGGCCAAAAGTTCAAAGTTACATTTCCGCCATCTCTTTCTGTGTTTGGAATCTCGAATATATTTGGAACCTCCAAATTTATCAATCAATTCTAACCACGTACGACTCGATAAAAAAAAAATCATAAACTCGCCCTGCCAAACACAAATCATACCAAGACCAATAGTCATCACCGAGATCCAATCTGCCAGCGCGAACGAACAACATCCATCATGCGCTTCTCCCAAGCTATAGTCCTTCTGGCATATGCTCCGTTCGCAATTGCATATCCAACATTCTCAGCACCCGCAGCCGCAGCGGTAGAAACAGCTGCAACTCCATTTACTGTTACGTGGGCAGATAACGGAGATGCTCCAGCGATAGCTGATGTTACCACCTATCAACTAGATGTCTGCGCAGGATCTAATAGCGGTGCGGATCTCAAAGTGATATACGCCGTAACTGCTTCCGCAACATTGGGGTCAACTCTTTCAACCAGTGTCACTGTACCAGCGGCCAGCGGGTCATCGGTGACCAATGCCTAGTAAGTTTATGAAGCTAAAGTTCAAGAAGACTTGATGCTGATGGTGATGCAGCTTTATGAGAATGATAGCAACCACAGCGTCAGGGACTGTTACAGTATATTCGAAAAGATTCTCAATTAGTGGTATGACAGGGAGTTTTGGAGCCACGTACACAATTACTGGCACCGATGGACCGGCAACTGTTAATAATGTGGCAGACACGGCAGTCGCATCATCATCAGGAACTGCGAACGAGGGCGTTTATGGAATCCCATACCAATCACAAACTGGTCTTACAAGATATGCTCCAATGGGTCGGATGCCTGGTACCGCAATAACGGCCACGAACACAGAACCTCAATATCCAACATCGTCTGTTTCTCTAGCCACCGCGCATCTAGACCCAGCAACCATTTATACAACGTTGACTCAAGCTCAAACAGCTTCCTTTGCAAGTCATGCTAATACGGTAAGTTTCAATACACAAACCCAACAATCCAAACTTGACGCGGCTAACACATGAAAGCTTGCGGCTGCATCAATGCCTACAGATGACATGGCAAAATTCTTGGCTAGATGGAAGGATTAAATCATTGGAAAGGCGATGAATGATGTATAAATATGGCATCAAATGAACATGTGAAAAGGAGTTTGGCGTACACTCGAATTGGTATTCGAGGTTTTAGTTTAAATGAATGCCGTGTATACCCAACGAATGAAGAATTTACCCAGTCAAGCCATCACTTGGTACTGTGCGCCAGGGTCGTTAAGCACTGTCTGCAAGAGATCTGCATATTGGTATAATCTCAGGGGATAGCGGAGAGGTGATTCCGATATTAATCCCAGCGCGGAGGGTCTAATAGGAACGTCTAGATGCGATGCGGGGAAATGCTTGCCAATGTTTACATAGTCGGATACAACATCCATAGAATGCTATGTCCCAAATGCAACAAGCCCAATACGAGCCAATTTCAGGAAGAGGTAAACTAAATTAAGAAGAGTATCTGGGGATCTAGGTATCTGCTATCTAGGTATCTAGCTCATAAATTAACAAGTCAATCTAATAAGCCTCCTTGCTACGATTACCTGACGGGTGCGCTTAAGCCATCATTCTGAATATCGTACTTTACTCTATTTGTCATTCTGTAACTGAATAATGTCCCAATGTCAAATTCTGAGAGTCTCGTGGTCTTTCCATTCATCCAGATTTAGTAAGGGTGATTAGGGATTCGTATCGAGCCATTATCGTGGCTCTAGCCTCATAAACCCCTTATGAAATAATATGCTCGGTACGAGTAGATATCTGACCATCTCCACGACACGGTGGTATTTTTTATTCAAGATCCCGAGATGAATTGATGCGAGATGTGATTATTGGTTGAAGTAAAGTTGGAAGTTGGAAGTTGGAAGTGATTGATCTGGAATTCATTAGACTCCGTATGTACTGCATCTGATTCTGCAAATAAACCACCTTACCTAGATTTGGTCTTCCCCGAGGTTCTTTTACCCTGGTGTTGATCCACGTGCTTCTTGTAGTTTCTTTTCCCTCTTTTCTTCTTGTCCCGTCCGACCTCCTGGTTCTTATCAGTGGGTAGTGGACTCGGTGGAGTGGCCGCTTGATGCTAAAGTCTCTAAGCGTCGGCTTGTTTCAATTAGTTCTCCTCTGTCGATATCTAGTCTCTAGTCTCTAGTCACTAGTCACCAGTCACCAGTCACTATCAACCAGCTTACGGATTGGTGGACGCATGTACTTGTTGAGACTTTGAGAGGAGCAACTTTTCTCTTCGGGTACTCTGCTCTTAGGCAGTGAATGCAGCACTCTCCGTATGTACCACAATCAGGCTGAATGCTGCTGATGTTACGGATGCTACCGACTGTTGAAGCATAATCCCATGCTACTCATTTTCATTCAATCCAAAACACGATCCAAGGAAAGACAAGGGCATCGATCAGTTGATGTGGTCCGCACAATGCACACACATGCTTGTGTAACCTTCCTTGTCACTTTCTATACCTACCCATTCCTCTGCTGTACTCATACCCTTTGCACCTCTCTTCATTTCTCTTATTAGCGCCGAGGGAAATTCCCCCAAAACCCTATAAACTATAAACTAAAAACTAAAAACTATAACCTGAATCCACTCCCACTCCACTCAAATATAAGACCATCAATTCCTCCATACACAACCCAATCTCGCCTTCCAACAACAAATTTTGCATATCGTCTGTCACCGAGAACATGCGCTTCTTGGAGCTCTTCCAAGCATCCATTAAGCCTCCCTGGCCCCGGCGTCTTCTTGATTCTTGATCTCATCATCCACGTTCATTTGGATATTTGCTGGAGAGAGATAACCAAAATCGAAAGCTTTAGTCTTTTTACTGTCGGACACAGAGGTTTAGTTCACAGACAATAAATCCGGAACCATGTCTCCTTTACCTACAGATGGATCCGACTCGACGGCTTTCGTAAATTCGAACCATGGTTCAGATGACCATACTGACCACGAACTACCACCACCACCAAATCCTTCATCCGATGCAGGTCTGACGGTTAGCCACTGTGCAAATGATCGTGGGGTTTCACCACCGTCTCCCAGTAGCATCGATATATTTACACTTTCGCCGATAACAGCACTTAAATTGTTATGTGCTGGTATCGAAGCTCTAGTTCAATTTACGGGAGACATTCCTCCCATGCCAGCGTCAACCGAAACGACGATGCCGAATATGAGAGGAATGCAGGCAGAGAAAGAAAATATACGACGGTCTGGTTCATGGACAAATTTAGCAGGTTTTCGACAACGAGCTCCTGGATCTGATGTTATAGATGGGGTAAATCTTCGTCCGAAACCTCTGGAAACACAGCACATTGTGCCCGCAGAACCATATATTATCGTTGGAGAGAATGCTGAGCCTTTGAATGTTCAACACAGTGCCATCACACGAAAATTTTATTCGAAGCATCCTCCTCCGATCTCTTTGGAAGACTATCTGATGCGAATACACACATTTTGTCCAATGTCAACAGCTGTCTATCTTGCAACAAGTTCCTACATACACAGGGTGGCGGTCGATGAACGAGTCATACCTGTAACAAGGCGAAACTCACATCGACTCATATTAGCTGGGTTACGCGTGGCTATGAAAGCACTCGAGGACCAAAGCTATCCTCATGCACGCTTCTCAAAAGTCGGCGGAGTCAGTGAACAAGAGCTTTCGAGATTAGAAATCAATTTTTGTTTCCTTACTAATTTCGAATTTAAGACGAGTAAAGAAGCTCTCTTACAGCACGCGATAAGTCTAAAGGAATTATCGTCTTTACAGGGAGGAGTGAATTTTGTCCCGAGAATGTCACTCTTAAACAAGGGTAGACCGGGTATGGCTGCACAAGAGACAGTGTTAGAAGTAACGGCGGACGCTTAGGTGTACGTAAGGCATAGTCTAAATATGATACAGGTGATATTGGAAAGTAGGGAAGTGGCCGAGTCAAGACGAATATGACTCCTGAATATGAGAGATGAGCAAGGCATGGCAAGGAACAGGTCACGGATGAAGAAACTGAAGCAGATTGCATATACGCTTTGGCCTCGTTACCATAGAGAACACAGTTGAGATGATCGGGCGCTACAACATGGATATGAGAGGCAGCATTGGAAGCGTTTGATGATGGGCGCGGCTTGGATCACGGTTGTTGGATGATATACATTGCTCCAAGTCGTGTGAATGGGCAATAGGATTGTTCGATAATTTGATAGTGTAGTTTCATTTCTAGCAGCAGGTACACTGTCAATGTGTTTGAAATACCGATATTGGATGATTGGAGATCCAGAATTTAATGATATCCGGAATACATACAATAGTCTAATTCGACTTTTACTCCTATTCACATGCATTCTCCCGAGCTCTTCACATGCGTAAACTCCTAAGGATTTTTAGTATCGATGTATGAGAAGATAGACTAAAACTGCCAAGCTTAAAATTGATAGCTCCCTAGTAACGTAACAAGGTCAAATATAAAATTCTAAAATTTAGCCCAACCGTTAGCCCCTCACCGAGGCAAGCTGGCGATTTTCATCAGCAACGCTTAGAAACGGCCATGGCCATGTTCCGCTTGTCAAATACCCCGCGATTCACACCACGTTGTCCGAATAGACGACAAAGAATAGCGTGTGTAGCACAGGTACAATTTTATTCTTCCAGAGCTAGTACTTCTCAAACGATATCCTCTATACCAATCCAATCGAGAATTATATCTCAAAGCCAGAGAAAATACGGTTTGGATACAGCTCGAATTACCGGTGATAGATCTCAGACAAGAATTAACCCGAGGATTATTCATCGCAGCATGGCTTCATCTACCGATACGATTTTGAAGGGGAAATACCCGGCGAAAGAACATGTCAGGAAGGTCGTGGAATATATTAAGAGGAAGGAGCCGGAGGCGGAGGGACTCTTGTATTTGGAGGCGCAGAAGACGGTTATGATTGAGGATAATGATGAGGCTGCTCCTTTCAGGTACGGTGTTGGGAGAAATGTTCAATATTGAATGTGGCATATATTAAAGATGTTCTTAATCATACACAGCTCAAGCTAACAATTCCATTTCCAGACAACGACGCTTCTTCTACTATCTCACCGGCTGCGATCTCCCTGACGCTTACTTTACCTATGACATCGCAAAAGATAAAAGTACCCTTTTCATCCCTCCAATCGATCCGGAATCAGTCATCTGGACTGGTCTTCCTCTTTCTCCTGAAGAAGCACTCGCCCGTTATGACGTCGACGAAGTCCTCACGACCGATACCATAAATGCGCAATTGGCCCTCCCAAACCAAACCAAAGTCTGGGCTATCGCACCCCAGATTTCGACTCACATAACTTTCCTCGAATTTCCCCAGAAAGATTTCACGCTCCTGAAGGAAGCTATTGAAGAAGCTCGTGTGCGCAAATCAGCATACGAAGTTGCGTTAATGAGAAAGGCGAATGAGATTTCAAGAGTGGGACACACGGCGGTTTTGAAAGCAGTAAAACATGCAAAGAATGAGAGGGAATTAGAGGCGCTTTTTATTAAAGAAAGCATTGCGAATGGAGCGAGAGAACAAGCTTATCATAGTATTGTGGCTAGTGGAACCGCGGCTGCTACACTACATTATATGAAGAATTCAGAAGAGTTGGAAGGGAAATTGAATTTGCTTTTGGATGCTGGAGCAGAGTATCAATGTTATGCTTCGGATATTGTAAGATTTTTTCCCCCAATATCCTGTATTTACTTTGTATTGAGGTTTCTCATGGGTTTTTGAAAGATATACTGATCACCCTGATAGACAAGGACCTTTCCTATCAACGGTCACTTCACACCCGAATCTCGCTCCATCTACGATATTGTACTCTCCATGCAATCGCAATGTATTTCCATACTCAAAGCCGGCGTTTCCTGGGATGAAGTACATCTCCTTGCTCACAAAGTCGCAATCAAAGGACTTCTCTCTCTAGGAATTCTGAAAGGTGATAAAGAAGAGATTCTAAAAGCAAGAACGAGTGTAGCGTTTTTCCCGCATGGATTGGGCCATTATCTCGGAATGGACACGCATGATACTGGTGGACATCCAAATTATGAGGATAAGGATAGATTGTTTAGATATTTGAGAGTTAGGGGAAATTTGCCAGAGGGAAGTGTGGTTACTGTTGAACCGGGTGTATGTTTTGTTCTTTTTTTTTTCTTCTCACTCGTCTCCCTTTTCCCTGTCTATTCTTCCGAGGTTTATAGCTAATACGAACATCGTAGATTTATTTCTGTCGCTTCATCATCGAACCATATCTTAAAGATCCGGCACATGCTCAATTTATCAACTCGGATGTTTTGGAGAAGTACTGGGAAGTTGGAGGTATGTTTTTCTTTTTTCTCTTCTTTTTGATTCCTGTCTTCCGTGTTTTAATGAAGAAAACTAATGAATAAAATAGGTGTAAGAATTGAAGATAATATTCTGATCACAAAAGATGGTTACGATAATTTGACAATGGTGGTTAAGGAGGTGGAGGAGATGGAAAAGATTATCAATGAGTCTTAGTTGTGAAATTGACGAGATGGGTAAAGTAGCTCTGAATATTTGAGAATTAGATTATGATTATTTTGGTGGATTGAGAATGTGAATATGCCTAAGTTTTAATAAATCATACTAACATGTTTTATTAGTGAGTGGGTTATATTAGTGAATAGGTTACTTTTATCTCAATTCACTTATTCAAAACTATTTTATTCAATAATAATAAAATCAATTGATTGAAACTATAAAGATTCTAATAATTT